TAGCCATGGAACCTCTGTGGTTATATAAAGAGTTGTTAAGGGTTACTTATGTATTAGAGACAGTCTTACGCAGAGAAGTAGACCTTTACTTTATAAAAAATAATTATCTTAACATAGATATAAACCCTACACAACTATAATAATGCTTATACGCAGTATACATTTTAATTAACATGTGTTACAAGATAGCTAGAAAGAAGTACACACTATAGGACAACAACTTTTAGGGATAGACAACGCACAATTTTAACCTCCTCCCCTGTGCAATTAGGCAAGAGCTATTGCTTGCCTACGCAGAGCACAGGCACTATCCTAAAGGGAAGGCAAATTATACGCAGGCTAAGAAGCTAGGGGATATTATAAATAAGAGAAGCACTAAGGGTTAGCTTTAAAAAAGAAAGTAAGAGAGTAAAAAGAAAAAAAAAAAAAAGAAGTAAAATTAACATACAGATAAGTAAGCAACTCTATAAAAGTAAAAAGTTGCTAGTGTTTATATGTAAGTATAGCTATATCTGTACACGCGTATAGCTAAATTAGGTTGCCTAAAACGTTAGCTATCTAGCCTGTGCGTTAAGGGCTATGTGTACTTAAGAGCCCTCTTTCTTTGTACAAAGAGAGAGGGTAGTAGTTAATAACAAGAAGATCTTTGCCTGCTCACCTCTTAGTACGCCCCTTAGGCGTATGTTTATTTAATCAAACCCAGGTCAACCGACAGTTTTCTATAATTGTAATAGTTGCTAAGAGTTGTCTGTCTTTTTAGGGCAGGTGTCTAGCTAGATTGTCTATAGGTAATTAATGTAGACTAGGGTACTAACAGAGGTGCAGGTCAGGGTGCACTAGAATAGTATACTGCCTTAGATATATTACTAGAAACCTTTTAAAACTAATCTATACTAGGTCTAATAGTAGACTGTTAGGTAAGATTAACAGTTTACTTTAAAATAGTAAAGGTGTTTCTTTTTTCTATGTTATAAGCTGTTAGGTAGGCTACTATTATCTTAAAGAAGCCTTTCTAAGTGTGTTTAAAACCTAAGTTTAGTACTCTTAGGCTAAGCAGTATCTTTTTTTATAGGTAGAAAAACTATTCTAACTTTAATATAGACCCTTTAATAGCAGCACTAATAAAGTAAGCTTTAAAAGTAAAAAATGCTTCTTTTTTACTTATTTTTAGAGTTTAAAACGCCTATTACGCCTCTATCTCTTTGTTGCTAGTAATAAAGTAAGTTTATAAAAGCTTAATTATTTCTTTTATGTTTTTAAACTAAAAGTAATCTAATTTAGCTAGGTATCTAGGCTCTAGGTATGCCTTTGCAATACTAGCAGTGTGTCCCTATACTAGCGCTATGCGTGCGCGCTTACTTTAATAGTAATCTATATTAATATTAAGTCTGTCTATAATAAAGGCTTACTATTATTTAAACATAGGTTCTTTGCTGTCTGTAAGGTTCTTAATCTTAAGTATACATTTAGTAAAGTAGCTTTAAGAGAGCTTAAGGGTGCCTAAAAGGTCTCTTGCTATTAGAGTAGCAGAGGTAATTTAAGGCATTATTATAGGTAATTTAGTAGTTAGTAGGAGTTAATTAAAACTAACAGTTTTTAATCTAGTTAGCTATTTAATTTATGCTCTTAATTAAGCAACTTAGTTTTTAAAGGCTATGCTACTAGAGTTTAACTTTAAATCTAGTAAGTTTTTAGCTTTTAGTCCTATAAAAAGGGGTTTAGCTGTTAAAGTTAGTAGTAGTTTAGTTCTAAAAGTAGGCATCTTACCTTAGCTGCAGCTAGAATAGGTTGCAGTCTTTATAATAAAATCTAATAGTAGTTAAAGGTTAGGCATTAGTAGTTGTTTTTAATTCTAATAAGTTATTAGTAGTCTTTAAGTTTCTACCTTAGCGCACTTTTTATAACTTTTCTAAAGGCAATCTTAATTATAGGGGATAGAAAGTTCTAAACCTAAAAGCTTTAGTTAATAAGAGGTTTCTAAGATCTTATTTATACTAACTAAATAATTTAATGTAACAGTGTATAAAAATAGTAACCTAAACTAAATTAAACGCTTCTTAGAGTTAAACATAGTTAAATAAACAATTAATGTAATATTATTAATAAAGCTGTTACTAGCAAAAGTAAGTTTTTTAATATAATGTAACAGCGCAGGCAAGACAATAGGTCTAAATGCAGTATAAATCCACTTAGAGGCATATGGGAGTGCGTGGGGACTTAGAGACCTAGGAATACTAATAACACCTATAGGCCTTGTACGTAGGATATCAGAAAACTACCAAGCTAGCTACGGGGGCGAGGTGCGACTAAATACATGCGGGAATAGGGGTAACTGCGGGGGACTGGGTCGAGTCATGGTCGGGGCCGATACGGGGACCCTTCGGATAGGATCCGAGCGACCCGAGATGGAACGATTCGTAGAATCGTTACACTATGCACTAGCTTAACTAAGAATTACTATAGCTCTACTACTTTTTATCTAAACTAGGTTAGATTTTAATAGGTAATAGAGACAGTCTTTAGCTATGTTCTAACATTTTTATAACCTAATTCTAACAAGATTTAGCAGAGTATTGCGCTATTAAGTCTTACACAGGACATTTTAATAACTCTATAACTACACTTTAATGTAACTTTTTAACTATATAATATATTATCTTTAGAATTTAAGACCTATCTAAGACAGGCTTTATTAAAGAGCTTATAAAATTTTAGAAGATCTAGGCTGCTAGTTATTAAGCTAGATAGTAGGCTAAAGACATTATAATTACTTTTATGTCTGCAGCTTAACTAGCTGTTGTTTAAGAACTCTAAGTGTAACGGCACAGGCAAGACAATGGGTCCGAATGCGGTAGGAATCTACTCAGAGGCATATGGGAGTGCGTGGGGACTCAATGACCTGGGAACTCCATTGACACCTATAGGCCTTGTACAAAGGATATCAGAAAACTACTGAGCTAGCTACGGGGGTGAGGTGTGACTAAATACATGGGGGAAATAGGGGTAACAGCAGGGGGCAGGGCAGAGTTGGGGCCAGGTCGAGTTAGGGTCGAGTCAGGGTCGAGTCAGGGTCGGAGCCGATACGGGGACCCTTCAGATAGGTTCCGGGCGACCCGAGATGGAACGAGAATCGTTACACTAAGAATCTAGAAGCTGTCTTAGACTAGCTCTATTAGGGAGCCTGCGAAATTTTAGGAGATCTAGGCTGCTAGTTGTTAAGCTGGATAGTAGGCTAGGGATATTATAATTACTTTTATGTTTACAGCTTAACTAGCTGTTGTCTAAAGACTCTAAAGATTTAGGAGCTATCTTAGACTAGATCTATTAGAGAGCCTGCAAAATTTTAGAAGATCTAGACTGCTAGTTGTTAAGCTAGATAGTAGGCTAAAGACATTATAATTACTTTTATGTTTATAGCTTAACTAGCTGTTGTCTTAGAACTCTAAGGATCTAGAAGCTGTCTTAGACTAGCTCTGTTAGAGATTCTATAAAATCCTAGGGAATTTAGTCTACTAGTTGTTAAGTTCTAGTTAAGGAAGTAATACTATTAATCTAAAATTAAGATATAGATAAGTTAAAGTTTTACACGCGTTTAAATTTTTCTTTACTAATAATAGTTAGAATTTAGTAAAAAATATACTATTTTATAGCTACAGCTTATCTTTCTATTTAATTAAATTCTAAGCCTATTTAGATATATAGTAGTAGAGATATTATAAATCTAATTCTATTATAATGCTTTTAAAATAGGGCTATTTATAGAAAAAATTACAAAAGTCTCTTAGATAGCTAAGGAGAGAAACGCTACTAACAGGGGTTAGAAACTGCTAACCCCTAGGCCATACTCTATTTGGAGTAGCAATATGCATGGTGGTTTGTGCGTCCTCGGTTCTCTCCTCACCACGTCTGAGCTAGCTGAGATAAACACAACAGTATATCCACCGCGCCGTCGTTCAATGTTGCCAGCTAAGAAAATCCTTTCAGCGTTTCGCTGGTCTCGAGTATTCATCGGAAAGGCCGTCCTTATATATATTAATTCTCAGTCCTGATTATGTACTCAAGTCTCGTCATCAGTCTCATTCACAACTCCATGATCAACCATATGCTTCACCACTGGATACGCCGCTCTCCCATAGTTGCTATTTCTCTGCATCACATACTTCACACTCACCCCCTTGAAGCCCTCAACATTATGTCCTCGACTCTTAAACGCATGTAATAGATAAGTCCCTGAGAAATCCATCTCCCACTCCGCTCTCATTCTTCTATTATCCCACCTGGCAATTGGATCTTGTTCCTGGTCTTCTATGACTTCCTCATCCGAAACAAGCTGCGGTTCATTGTGCGTCCCGAAAAGTTTATCAAATGACCAGGCCTCCCAATTTGTCGGCGCCCAAGCCATTTCGTCGAGAATCAAGACTTCGTTTTCGACACGAACGAGACGTTGCGAGATGTGAGTAAGCAGGTCTACAGAATGGGTTTCCCACTCCCCATCAAAGACTTGCGGGCTTTCTCTCGTCATCAAGTATGACATCCTACTTTCTTTCTCGGCCATCATCAGCCCTGGGTTCACCTTCCCGCCATATTGGCGTCCTACAACATTCCGGAATCCGATTTGACGAAACAGAGCGATGTCGCGGAGCGCTACGACATCCCAGTCTAGATATATCCCACCGGTGGCGTAGAGTTGTTCCCATCGCACAAAGTCAGATTTGTGCTCGATGTTCTTGATGAGCATGTTGTTTGCTTCGGTAGGCGGGACGACAAAGTTCATTTTTAGGATATTGGGGAAACCGGTTAGGATCTTACGTGTCCATCTGCTGCCTTCTTTCGCGGCGGTTTTGAGGTAGGTGGCGTTGTGGTCGGTGTGGATGAGAATACTCCTCGGTTTGAAGTAGAGGCTTGCTGAGTATATTGAGAGGAAATCCTGGAATGTGAGGTCTAAGGTAGAGGACGAGTCCTTCTTGAGATAGGTGTAGTGGACGATGTTTGGGATGGCTTCGGTTCGAGAATGTATTTGAGGAAGGTAGTTTGGAATGTTTCCAGTTGGAAGAAAGAGAAGCAGACAAAGTGAACTAATCAAGACTCCAGCTGCAAGTGCGGACTTGGAAAACTTCGGTGAACTCATCGCGCTGGAGGCATGAACTTGAGGGAAAGGATATTGAATCTAAAGAGTGCGTCTACAAGCAGTGCTAGGGATGATCGTCCTAGCTAGAGATTCGTGTGACCATCATGCTTCCAAGATTGTATTCGCTTGGAGCTCGCCTCGTTGGACTGCTCCATCTCCCCAAAATAGTAGCAAGGGCGGCGATTGCTTTCAGCTTGTCGAGGGTATCGCACGAAGCTGTTCTGATTCAACGCCCTATGTAAGGTTTACGAGCAATCAGGTGAGCAGTGCTTTGCGTCTGGCCACCCGTATTTAGGTACGATTTCCCAAGACGGTTAGCGTGATGAATGCGCCGCAAGCGAATTTCAAACATCAAGACTTAAATTCCGATCACGACAACACACGAGCAATGTTGGAAGATGACTACGGGTGAAAAGATCGGCATGTAGTGCAACCAGATAGGCTGCAACTGACATGGCAATGATGCATGATGACATAGCAAGAAAGTGCTGGTCGCGGGAGTCTTCCGTATTTACGAAGGACAATACGAGGTCCCGAGTCAATAGGAACTCGGTGTTTGCACATTTTACAGAGCCACTGGTGTGTAAAGTATCGGCCTGCCTCTTTATTTACTTCTCTTGCCGAGTCCATCTCTGTCCGTGCAAGATAATTAGTAGCGCACTTGGCATTCCTTACCATTCCGTCCCCCTCTCGTCCGATCCTTGCTTGCTTCAGACTTCAAAATTATACTAGCTTAGAGATAACGACAGTAAGGGCGGTTCACGTAAAATTCCAATTTAAAAAAAATGCGGAATACCATTGGACGCGTAGCTTCGCGTTTGAATCCTAATCCCTCATAATTAGCCTTCTACCCGAAAAGTGAGGCAGCTAACTTTTATAGATGGGAAGGTGCCGGCATCACTTTCGGATTCTGCACGTTGCGGATATGGTTTCAACCTTTCATCGCTATCTTTCTTCTCTTTGCCCTCCAGCCTTTAGGGCCCTCCAATGGGACTAGGATCTCCGTCGCATGTGTTTTAAACCCTTCCACAGTTGAAGGCGTGGAAAATGTCTGGAACCCGAAACTTGGGCATTGTTGACACATTTCCTAGACATGAGATATTTTAAGTCAGAAATTGATTTGCGCCCAGTTCTAAAAGATCCCGTCCTCAATATGCCACGTTCTATGTTTGGCGATATAGAATATTAAACAGCCATTCATGTCTATAGGCAGGCCTAGTTCCGGACGAAAAATAATGACATTATGGCTTACTATACGATCTAAGGATAGACATGCATGTGGGGAAATCGTGAGAAAGGCTCTACGAGTTCCACAGACCTGCGTGGAAGGATTGATGAGTTATACCCGTGGCTGATCACGATCGACTATGTGTGCTGTTTCACGATAAAAAGCTTGTTATGTCTCACCTCCACAGCCATGCCATGCTCCAGCTGCTGTTCAGATTGTGCTACCTCATGTTATCCACAGCGAAAGATCCCGTGTACTGAGCTTCTCAGAGACGTTCCTGGTCTACCACTCGATGACGCGATAGAACGAGCTGCTTAAGCAGGACAACTATCTACCCTTTGTAGCTTCATATCGCTTCACTAACCCACAGAGATAGAGGGGGGGATTTTCATCTACGATTCAAGTTTTACTCGACAGCCATGTTGCCGATTTTGAAGTATCACGAAAGAAATTTGGTTGCTATGGGGGCGCTTTTTGGAATGATGTTCCTCGCGCAATAACTGTGGTTAAAAAAGCTGGGGATACTGCTCTTTTCCGAGTTTTTGTGCAACGGCTGACACACTGCGGGCAGACCGGAACTCAGAGACATTGAGCGTTTGTTCAACGAAGGAGTCGTTGTTGTGACATAGACGTGTGACAAAACGTCCAGGATCGACTTGTTGACGGTGGCAAAATAGCTCCGCAATGCCCTTTGTATGCTGAGGCCTTATACATGTCCTGCAAAAGAAGGGCAAATGGTATGCTGAAAGGGTGTAGTTAGCATGACGTTATCTTGTCTAATTTCAATATTAAAGAGGTTCTACGCGTGTTCTCTCGAGCTAAATCAACTATATGGCTTCAAACTGCCGCCTTTTCATTTTGGAAGCTTTCGAGAGTACATGTCAGCGTCTTCAAGTTTAACATACGGGGAGCAGCACAGTTGACAATATTCCGTCGTGATGAGCTGGGCGAGCCCAAACCTTTACTTAACTAAGGAATAATATGATAATCACCCATCGCGTATTATCCAGACAGTGACATCCCTACCTCCTTCCTTCGCCTGCCCTCTTTTCATATCTACATCTTTATCCCCATACAGAATCACGCACTCTTCTTCTTCACCAGCCCCGTACACCAACCCCGGAAAACATTGAACACCCACCAAGTGGTATTCCGCACATTCCCTGTGGGATAGTACTGTCCTCTATCTCCGACGTCCGCCAGCTTACATACGGTTTCGGAGAGTGTGCCAGGCCACCGCTTGCGGATGTATGCGGCCACCATGTCTTGGCCGTTTGTTATGCCGCCTAGGAGATATCAGAATAATGCACATATATTGAATTATGGAAAAGTGCAAAAATTAGGCAAGTGGAAGTTTGAAGGCAGGCGTTAATCGGAAAAAGGAGGGGGGAGACTGTGCATGAAACAAGGGGAAATCTACCAGCAGTCCAGAGTTTCTCGTCCGTAGTCCATCGTACATCGTCTCGCCATTTCGCCTTTGGAAACTGTTTCTTCAGCATCATATCCACAATCTCGCGGCCCCCGGTTGCGTTTTTGCCGTCGAGGATGCCTGCATGTCCCGCTACGAATATCCCCGTACAAATCGTCAAAACCTCAACCCCCTTCTCCACATGCTTCCTCAAAAACTCTAACGCAGGCTCCTCAGGCACCTTATTTGGATCCGGTCCTGGGATCATCAAAATATCTAGTTTCCCGGGTTTAACACTCTCATCATCTAATCCAGCATCGATGTGGAATTTCAGATTCGGGGTTGTGGGCGCGAGAGAGCCGGCACCGGTTGAAGCAATGTATGTGATCTTCAGCTCCGAGGATGGGATGCCGTGCGAGGTTATCGCGGGAGGGAGGTTGCAGGCTTTAAGGTAATCAGTTGTGAGCATGGCGAAGAGATCTATGGGGGAGAGGTCGAGGAGTTGAATGCCCCCTACTACTAGGACGCCTATGTGTAGCGGGAAGGGCTTGGGGTCTGGCATGGTGGATTGATGGTTGGGGGTTGGTTGAGGGTGAAGGGTGTGAGTGTGAGGTTTTATGACGAGGGAGAAGTTGAAGCTCTGGGATGGCTGAGGACTATATATAGTTGAAGGGGGACTTTAAAGCATCAGGCAACTACATTTTGGAGATTGTGATGTGCCAATGGGAGGTAAGGGGTGCGAGAGTGTGCACGGAGCTGCGTAAGATTATGCTCGACTCGGGGACTAGAGAGAACCGAGACGTGCGGGGATAGATCTAGAAACTTAGAGCAAAACTAGGTCTAAACGGATGAACAAATAATGGGGAAGCTAAAGGAGTTATGCCCAGTTTAGTTCTAATGGGTGGAAGAGGATGGAAGGCAATGAGATGGAACTGTGCAAGCCAAATTGGAAAATTTTGAAGTTTGAGGATGATGGAGAGAGAACTTGGAGGCATGGCCTTTGAATAACACCTCGCGTACGCTGTGAATAAACATAAATCTCCTTCAGCAGGCCTGCTTGGATTCACCGGGCCCCGGAACAAAAGTGACATCCGTGCCGATGAGTGGAAGACGGCTATGAAATGGTAGCCCGCTCCGTTTCACGGGCGGGTGGTACCAAATTCAACCTTAAATTCGTGTACCTACATACCTTCCTTGCATCCAAGATGTAGTTTGCCGCCATTTCGACGATCCCGCCCGTCCATGAAAGTTGGATTTGGATGAGTATGACGAGTAGAGTGATGAACGGGAAGGAAAATCTTTTCTCCGAGCCTCGGCCCAATTCCCAAAGGTTTCAACTCCACCAATAGCCGATATGCCATCGTATCTTTAACTTCAGCATTATTCTTGCTCTCTTTCTCACTCAATTCCCCCCTTATAGCTCTTCAATATGGATATCTCAAGTCTCTTCAGCGTCAAGGTATGGTTTTTCCACCACCACTCCTCCCAGTCCGAGTTCCGTCACTAACCGTCCGCAGGACAAAGTGGTCCTCGTAACGGGTGGCGCGAAAGGCATTGGACGAATGATATCCGAGGGCTTTGTCCAGAACGGCGCAAAAGTTTATATATCATCAAGAGACAGGAAAGCTTGTGAAGAGGCTTGTAAAGAGCTTAATGCGATGGGGAAGGGGAAAGCGGATTTCATCAGCGCGGATTTTTACAAAGAGGAGGATGTTAAGAGGCTAGCTGAGGAGTTAGGACGGAGGGAGAAGAGTACGTATGCGCGCTCTCTCTTCCAATCCATGCGCATCGTGTTGAGGAAGAATTGGGATGCTAATAAAAGATTAGAGCTGGACATCCTCGTTAATAATAGCGGTAGCAACTGGGGCGAATCCTACGCAACCTACCCCTCCGCCGCCTGGTCGCGGGTCCTCACCTTAAACCTCCAACGGGTCTTCCAGCTTACGCAACTGGTAACGCCGCTCCTCGAGGCCGGCGCCTCCCGCGAATCGCCCTCGCGCATAATAAACATTGGCTCCGTCGACGGCCTCCGTGTCCCCGCCCTCGAAACCTTTGCCTATAGCGCCAGCAAAGCCGGCCTTCACCATTTGTCTCGCGTGCTCGCACACCATCTCGGCCAGAGGAATATCACGAGTAATACGCTGGCGTGTGGACCGTTTCAGAGTAAGATGATGAAGGCGACACTGGACAAGTTTAAGGATGTTATTGAGGGCGGGATTCCATTGGGCAGGATTGGAACACCGGAGGATGTGGCCGGGTGTTGTATTTGGCTGGGGAGTAGGGCCGGGGCGTGGGTCAACGGAGCGACAATTGCGTTGGATGGGGGAACAGTTGTTAGTGCAAAGCTATGAGCGTGATGCAATTGTATGATACTATGCATGGGTGCTGGTATAGAATGAGGGAATGAGGGGTAGAGATTAAAGTCATGTGTAGGCTGGGGTATCTAGTATATGAATCGTTCCTTTGCTGTGGCAGTTATCTTGGCCTGGTGGCGAAGTGGGCTTTCCTCTATCCAAAATCTTAAACAGCACCTGCCCTCCGTTTGTCCAGAATCAGCCGCTTCAGTCGGTCGGCCGCAGCCTCAGTCTCCATTGCCTGTTCAACGCCTCGCCTCCACGCGTCATCCAACATGGTCATCTCGCCCGAAACCGCCCACTGTTGATTTCTCCGCATTTCTTCCGTCTCTTCGTGCTGCTTCTTCACATCTGCTAGCTGTGTCTCAATCGCCTTGAGTATATCCTCCAGCTGTGAGTTCCCAATCAGCCAGGCATTCTTGCCGAATCGCTCCAGCAACCCGAGCTGCGTGAGCCGTCCATTTATATATTCCGACGACGTGCATGCCCGCTTCAGCGCATCGGTCCACTTGTCGAACAACTCGGGGCTGTCCTCGTCGGTCGTGGGATCGGTATTTGGGGGGGCTTCGAGGTCCTCGTATCGCTTGAGATCAATGGCACGCAGTTTCGACGACTTTTCGGCCTGCAGTCGCGCATGCTCCAGCTCGACCGCTTCGGAGAACTGTGGAGAATAGGCCGCTGCTGGAATCAGCGCGGGATGCAGCTGTAGGCTGTCTGCGCCGGTGCTCTCGATACTGGCTTGTATAAGGAGGTCTACAACGGCGGCGAGGGTCTGGGAGGGCGCGCCGTCGACCACTGCGGGACCAGCTGGTGAGCACATGCACGCGACAAAATCAACCCTCGGAGTCTCTAGAATGGAGATTGGAAACAGGCATTCTCTCGTTCAGGCAAGGAGGGGAAATGAAGATGGCAAGGTAGATTAACTTACAGGGGAGGGACTCGTAAGATTCGTTGATGAGCGGCATTGCAGGCTAGAACTGGTGATAGTGGGAGATTGGGAGGTCGTGTGGATGCGCGAGTGAGGAAGTTCAGCAAGGTCAGTCGCGAGAGCAGGCGAGGGCTGCAGGACCTAACCCCTGCGCAATGGGGCGGGGAGGAAGCCAGTGAAACCAGGCTACATGCCCCAAACGTCATGCGCCACCCGCAGTGGTCCGTCGTGCATGCCAGGCTTGCAGCGGCGGGCTGCTTGCTGGCTCTCACGGCTCCCAGCCCTCAATCAAACAGGATTCCAACCGCGGTGCTGCCGGGTGTGCCTCTACTACCTTCCCCTTACACACGCTGCTCCAGCTCCAGCGTGCCAGTCGACCTCGCAGACGAACGTGTATATTACTGCCCCTGCCGCGCACTCGATGCGACTCAGGCTCCCCTCCGTACACTCATCCGCCTTCGACATCCTGCTGCGTGAATGGCACGCTCACATGTCCTCGTCGCCATCGGCGCCGCCTTCTTCGCCTCCCTGATCATATCCCAGCTCGTAATTAACCTCGGATTCCCCCAGGTCGACTTCTGGCACTGGCGACTGGACCAGGACTACCATGGCATGCACCAGACACACTTGTTCAGAGAGAAGGACGCCCAGGCTGGCAAGGCCGTGGGGGATGCCTCGCAGTACCTGATCGGCGTGGGGAAGGCGGATATCACAGGGTAGGACCAGGCTGGAGCGTGCAAGCATCGGCAATCGGCGTACTAACCCGCTCTCCCAGTCCCGTCGTTGAACTCAACTTGATGGGATACGCAAATTCGTCCCAAGTTGGCACCGGCTTGAGGCAGCGCTTGTACTCGCGCGCCTTCATCGTCGGCAGTCCGAGCGATCCGACCCAGCGATTCATATACATGGTGCTGGACACCCAGTCTGGCGATACGGCTATTCGCAATGGCATCCTCGAGGGACTCAAGGGCTTGGGCCCGGCGTACTCAATGTACGCACAGAAGAATGTGGCTGTAACAGGCACACACAGCCATTCCGGTCCCGGCGCTTGGCTGAACTATCTCCTACCGCAAATTACCAGCTTGGGCTTTGACAAGCAGAGCTACCACGCCATTGTGGACGGGGCGGTGCTTTCCATCAAGAGGGCGCATGAGAGCTTGGCACTGGGAACAATTAGTTCGGGGAGCACTAAGGTCACGGACGCGAGCATCAATCGCAGTCTGTTTGCCTATCTTGCGAATCCAAAAGAGGAAAGAGATAGATATACCGATAATGTAGACAAGACTATGACGTTGCTGAAGTTTACAAGAGCCAGTGACGGGAAGGATATTGGTATTCTGAATTGGTTCGCCGTGCATGGAACTTCTCTTCTTGGAAATCAGACAGTGGTCGCCGCAGACAACAAGGGCGTGGCCGCATATCTGTTCGAGCAAGAAATGGCTTCGAGCGTGAACGCGGCCCCAGGCTTCGTAGCGGGCTTCTCGCAGGCCAATGTTGGGGATACAACTCCAAATGTGCTCGGCGCCTGGTGTGAGGACGGCTCAAACGCAGAGTGCAGGCTCAACGACAGCACTTGCGGCGGCAAGAGCCAAGACTGCCACGGACGAGGCCCATTCTTCGGATTAAACGACGGTGGCGTGAAATCCTGCTACGAAATTGGCAAACGGCAGCACGCCGGAGCCCTTTCCATCTACGCATCTAATAGCTTCACTCCCATAACTGGCAATGTCCGCTCCTTCCATACTTTCGTGGACTTCTCCAACTTCACCTTCACCCTCAAGAATGGCACGACTGTATCCACATGCCCTGCTGCACTGGGTAACTCCTTCGCGGCCGGAACCTCGGACGGGCCGGGCGCCTTCGATTTCGTGCAAAACGACCCTGGAGCCCCCAGCAACCCCTTCTGGAACGTCGTCGGAGGACTCATTGCCGAGCCCTCCCCAAAGCAAATCAAATGCCAATATCCAAAACCAGTCCTCCTGAACGTAGGCGAAGCCCATACACCATACGACTGGTCCCCCAACATTGTCGACATCCAAGTCCTGCGCGTGGGGCAGTTTATCATCATTGTTTCCCCCGGCGAAGCCACCACCATGTCCGGCAGACGGTGGCGAGAAGCCGTGTACAACCAAGCCATCTCGACAAATCTTGTGAGCGCAAGTACACCGCCGATTGTCGTGTTAGGTGGTCCAGCAAATAGCTACACCCACTACATCGCAACCGAAGAAGAATACAGCATCCAGCGCTACGAAGGCGCATCCACACTCTACGGCCCCAACACCTTGAATGCATACATTAACTCCACCCTCTCCCTCCTCTCCTACCTACGCGATGACGCCACAAGCTCCTCACCCGCGGGTCCCTCGCCGCCCGACAACCGCGACCGCAGCATCAGCCTAATCACCAGCGTCGTATACGATGGTGCACCTCTCGGTAAGAAATTCGGCGACGTCACAAAGGACGCTTCCGGCTCCTATGCCCGGGGTGTCAAAGTCAGCGCCACATTCGTTGGCGCGAATCCGCGGAATAACCTACATCTCGAAGATACATTTACAGCTGTAGAACAGCAGCAAGCAGATGGGTCCTGGAAGAGGGTTATGGATGATAGGGACTGGGAGTTGTTGTTTGAGTGGAAGAGGACGAATGGGTTGACGGGATACTCGGATGTTGTTATTACGTGGGATACGGGGGTTAAGAGCCCCAGTGCGGGGACTTATAGGTTGAGGTATTTTGGGGATTCGAAGACTATTGGGGGGACGATAACGGCGTTTAGTGGAACGAGTGGGGCGTTTAGATTGACGTGAGGGAAGGAGGAGGTTCGATATAGCGCGCGAGTATTGAATATGTAAAGCATGGGGTTTTCAGTCAAGGAAAGTGTATTGTAGTGCACCTAGAGTAAGTTTGTCTATATTCAAGTAGTAGGCCGTGGCCTCCTAGAGTGCCTGATTAGGTTCCTGGATGTGATCGTACCGTCTGCGTCTTCAATCCTACCAAAAGATCACGTGTCCTATATTACACACCGCATCTACACTCGTGGAGCAGGTCCTACATTGTAACACGAGTCCCAAGACGGCCCCACACATGGACCTTGTATTTGGCAAGAAATAAAACCATATCTGTGCACATTCATGAACATTAATTGAACTTCTGCGTCCACTCTGTGAGGCGGGGGATTGAACAGACATCCTCATTCTATACATTCAACCAAGCAAGAAAAAATCCTAGAAGCACGCGGTCATGGTAATCATCATTTTAAGACTGCTAGTCCATGGCCTCAAATTTTAGAGCTCCCTCTGCCGTGGACACGTCGAGCTGTATTTAAACTCCTTTGCTGTTGGCTTTTCTTCTACTCCCTCACACACCCTCCCTTGGCTGCTGGATAGAAAGAATGGGGTATGCAATATCTGTGGAGTGGGGCGTATCTTTTCTTGTCTAGTGGCTGAATATGGGTCGATGCTTTGTTACGGGGCTTTGTGGGATTGGCTCGTGGTCCTTGATCTGAATAGAAATATGAATGAGGGGTTGCTATGGCTCTGTGTTGGAGATCTGGTCTGTCTAGACGCTGCAGGTTGTTTTGTAGGTTGCGAAGAAGTGTGATGGTGAATTAGAATTGGGTATATACAGTATGTGTAGTACAAAAGAAATCTACAAGAAAAAGAGTGGAATACGGAACCTACCTCCGTCTCAGTCTAAAAGTCGATTAAATGGATATATCACCCAAACCTCTCTCTCTGCCCCTCTGTGAAACTAGCTATCCCATCTCCTGTTTCACCATATCTCTCCTTCTATTACTGCGGCGCGCCCATATCCTGCAACCTCGCCAACTCCCAGTACACACCCCTCTTGCTCATCAATTCGTCATGTGTACCCCTTTCAACGACCTTCCCCTGATCAAACACATATATAACATCTGCGTGTTGGATAGTGCTGAGACGATGAGCGATGGCGATGGTAGTGCGGCCTTTGGATGCGGAGTCGAGCGCAGCTTGCACGGTGCGTTCGGAGGTGCTGTCGAGAGAGGAAGTAGCTTCGTCGAGGAGGCTGTGCGGGAAGATTAGTCATGGGTTTTTGGTGGTTTGGGAGGTGGAGGGGAGAGCTTACAGAATCTTAGGATCGCGGAGAAGAGCGCGGGCGATGGCGATGCGCTGACGTTGACCACCTGATAACAACGCCCCTTTAGCACCAACAAGGGTGTTCATACCGTCCGGGAGGGATGTCTAAGAGATGTGAGCTCTATACTTGTACTATAATAGAGGCAGACGACAACTTACAATGAACTCATAAATATTCGCATCCTTGCAAGCCTGCACAATCGCCTCCTCGCTCACATCATCCTTATCCGCAAGAATATTCTCCCTAATCGTCCCAGTATACAATGTCGTCTCTTGACTCACAATCGCCAACTGCGACCGATACTCTTGTAGATTATAATCTTTTAATTCCGTCTCATCCACCATCACAACTCCAGAATCGTAATTGTAAAATCGTTCTAGCAGAGCCATTACAGTTGACTTCCCACTCCCACTCGCACCCACTAACGCCACAAACTGTCCCGGCTCGGCGATAAGACTGACGCCCCGAAGTACAGGGTGGTCTGGACGTCCAGGGTATGTAAACCGGACTTTCTCAAGCTCGACTTTTCCGTCCAAGCGGTCGATCTTCTTGCCTTCTGTCGACCATGAATCGATCTTCGGCACACGGTTTAGGAACGATTTAAGTAGTTTTGCAGCACTCCGCGCCTCCCCCATATCCGGTGCGAACGAGAAAATTGCACCAGCAGACTGTGCACCGTTAATAATCGACGCATAGCAGACGAAAAACTGCACGATCGTGTATTCTTGTTTCAGGATAAGTTTTCCACCATACCAGAACACCATTGCAAAAACGAACATAGAGAGGCTTTGGGATAGCGCATACAGAAGCGCGGAAGTTTGTGTGGCGCGGAGATTCCCGAGGGCTTGTTCGCTGAGTTTCTCGTGGTATTGGTTGAGAAGGTGCTTTTCGAGGGAGAGGGACGCTACGGTGCGGATTGAGGATGCGGCCTCACAGGCGAAGGAGGCGGCTTCGGTGGAGTGTTTTGTGCGTCTTTCCATGCTGATGAGAGCCTAGTTTTGTAATAATATTAGCTGCGCTACATTGTACCACAGACTTGAAAATAAGACGGAAACCTACGCGGAATCTAAAGTATCCACACCCTATGAGGATAGGTAGGGTTGAAGTGCAGACGAGAGCAAGTTTCCATCCAAACGAGCAGGCTATGACAATGGCGGAGATGATAGTAGCCACTGCCATAACGATAGCACCTAGGGTAGATCCACTCATACCAGCAAGCCGATTAGCTTCTGAAGAGAGGAAAGTAGCTAGTGAGCCAGATGTGACTGCATCTCCATCAAAGAATTCGATATCCTGAAGCTCGTCAGTATTATCTCGCTGCGAACTACATGTGTTTAAGATCATACCTGACGGAGAATGGCGCTGAAAGCTTGCTCTCGAACTCGCGCAATAAGCAGCCTGAAATGTTAGAACATATTCAGTAATATCTCCCACAAGAGAGATACTTACGCTGATGACTTCGCCAACGTCAGTCCTTGGGCGAAGTTAAAGATCCAGGTGGTAATCCCCAACATAAGGAACATCCAACACCAGAATCCCAGTGTGTGTCCGCCAGTCGACATTGAGGGGACCAAGAGCGAGATGATAGAGTTACCTAGGAAAATAGCTTGGAGTGCCGGTGCCGCACCCGCGAGGACGCAGAAAAGGAATCCAACCAGCATAATTTTATGCTCTTTCGCGTTCATTGACCAGCTGAATTTGACTAGTTCCCAGGTACTGTAGTCTTCGTTGTCGTCTTTGGTTGGAGCCTTGATTGACACGGGTTTGGTGGTAGTTGTTCGGACGAGGTTCAGCTTCTCGGGATCGGAAACAATTTCACCCTCCTTCTCCATGATAGCGACTCGGCCGCTGGGAAGGATCTTTGAACTCAGCTCTTGGGCCTGCACTAGACTCTGATAAATACCACCAAGGTTAAGTAGCTCGTCATGTGTGCCTTGTTCCATAATCTTACCCTTGGCCATGACAACAATATTATCCGCATTCTTGATTGTCGAAAGGCGATGGGCAATAACGATCGTTGTCCGGCCTTCCGATGCACGGTCTAGGGCTTCCTGCACAGCACTTTCGGACTTTGTATCTAAACTGGCAGTGGCTTCGTCGAGGAGTAGAATCTTAGGGTCGGAGACGACAGCTCGTGCGATGGCTATTCGCTGCTTTTGGCCTCCGCTAAGCAGTGATCCACGCTCTCCTACAGTAGTTCGGAGCTTGAGAGGGAGCTCATTGATGAAGTCCCAAGCGTTGGCGATCTTAGCAGCCTGTTCGATGAGTTCTGCCTTCACTTCGTCTTTCGCCTGCGGGTAGTCAGTACCAAAGATTCGGTGCCAGTTCAGTAGAAGGAAGAGGAGAACGGCGTTATAGCACATAGTATGGGACACGACCAGTAGTTGGAATCTAAGGCCTGAGAGGTAATCCTTAGACTACGCTCTCAAATGTAGAGACACTCTTGGCAAGTATCCTTGTCCTAGTTGTGTTTCTTGGTACTTGCCAACAAGTAGCAAATTATAGAGATTTGAGTATGCACTTACATTCTCATACTCAGTTCCTACCAGGCCATGTTCGATAGACTCGTAGATCGTCGTACTGAAAAGCACTGGTTCCTGACTGACGATGGCCATATTCCTCCTTAGCCATTTTAGATTCAATTTACTGATATCGTTCCCATCGAGGAAGACTTCCCCAGACATAGGCAGATAAAACCGTTCGAGAAGTCCAAATATCGTGGATTTGCCAGACCCTGATGCACCAACGAGGGCTATCATTTTCCCTGAGGGAATGACGAGATTGAAATCTTCCAAGACAGTTGTATCGGGACGAGACGGGTATACGTGCTTAATATTCTTGAACTCGATGTTTCCGATATACTGTTCTGGCTTCTCTCCTTCGTCGGTCTCTGGATCTATCGGTGACTTGCGCTCGATGGTATTGAAGACTTTAGTGGCAGCCGCTGTGGCCTGTCCGAAGGCACCAAGGTGCGGAAGATTGTCTACAGTTGGTGATTAGTATTGCCTTTCCGCGAGTATCTAGGTTCAACGAAAAGAAGTCTACTTACGTCCAATACTAACACCTGCAACCATCGACGCCATGATGACGGTGAGAATCTGAGCAACACCCAGCTCTCCCGCATGAAGGAATCGATTTCCTTGCCAAAATGCCAAAGCGTATTGCAGGTTGAGAACGGCCATCATTCCCGCAATCATTGAGGATAACCAGAACTTCCCTTTGAAGTCAAATCTCGAGGCCCTTCTCAAGAACGTCTCGTACTTCTTCTCTAGCCGCTTCTGCGTTCCGAATGCGGTGACATTTCGAGCGGACGATATGACCTCCTCGGCCAGGGTCCCAGCGGTTGCGTACTCATTGACGGCAAGCGTCATATTAGCTTTCATATTCTTGCCTATCTTAAATTAGAATTCGTCACTAGGGCAACCAGTATTGCTCTCACCGTTGAAACCCATCATCAGAACGACCGCTACCGTTGCCGATAGCATAATGCCTGCTAATTTGGCAGAGCGTATAAATCCAACCACCAGAGCAGAAACAAACATGGAGGTGCCGGTGACGAACAAGGCCACTTTCTGCCCAATACCATCTTGAACCAGATTCATGTCTACATGAGGTCAGAGAGATAGAAAAGCGATTGAAGTGCAGGACATACCGGAGCTGATGCGTGTAGTAACCTCGCCAGAACCAAGAAAGTCGAAGAAGGCAATGTTCTGGCGAAATATAGCTCGAAGATAAAGCTCTCGAATGTGCTGAGTGATCCGTTCACCGGTGTAGGAGAAGCCAATGATACTCACGTACACGGAGATAAATGATGCAATGCCTAGAAAAACCCGCATGTCAGAATCATTCATACACATAAAGTCTTTGAACATACCAAGATACACGAAATATAAGGTGAAAGTGTTGATTTGGTGCTTAAAATGGGCTGCAACAGTAGCATCAGTCGCAAAATTTGTCATGCTTCCCGCAAAGTTGCCATAGACAAGCTTGAAGTGGGCTAGTCAGCAAATTGCGCTTATTGAATGAAGGTTGAATATTACCGTCATTAGTGGAAGAACAGCGCCAGCCACGATAGATGCGATAGCGGCAATTGCCATGATCAATGCCTCTTTCCTGTTGGCATATCGAAATAGGGAGAAATACCCAACGCTCTTCTTAGGCATGTGGAGCTGCTTTTCGATGATCTGCTTCTCCTCATCGCTGAGAGTCGTTGTAGCTGGGGTTTCTTCTCCAGATGCACGCTTTTCATCATCTTGAGCCGACGCTGAGGCAGTCGGAGATATCATGCTGAAAAAGGCTTTACACCTTGGGCAGAAGGATTAACTCAGTCGTAAGAGTAAAAGGCCTGGAGATTGTTATTTGTGGCGAAAAGTGAGGGGCTAGGCGTCGCTCGCTCACCCTCAGTGCTCTCAGTGCTCTCAGTGCTCTCAGTACTCTCTCAGTACTCTCAGTACTCTCAGTGCTCTCTAAACGACTCAACCACACCCTGGTACGGCCTTGAGGCTGAAGGAGAACCACGCTTAATATAAGCAACGACAAGGCTCCGGGAAATGGGAAGCACTTGGTGTTGCAGATGAGAACGGCGTCGCAAGTTCGCCAAGCCGAGGTACGGAGAAAGGACCGAGTTGATGGAACAAGCGATATTAAGACATCGAATTGAAGGAAATTAACACAAAAGCAAACGGTAACCCTTTTGTGTCAAGCCTGGAGGCGCCTGGAACACGGGGGTAAACGGAGGGTCAAGCGGACATATATCAAGCCAGATCGCTCCGCGAAATCGAGAAGGGGGACGCGCAACATTCTCATCAGGCAGAACCTGAAGCCATTTTCGTATTCGCACGTATTTCTCCTTCTGCAAGAGGGCCACATTCCGGAGCGCCACAGTGCATGGCGCGGTCGAATCAGAGCCGGAGCCGGTGGAGGGACCTTCCATCTGTCGGAGCATCGGTTGCGGAGCATCGGCAATAACCTGCTCCGGGAATGAATCACGTGGGTGCTAATCGTGCTAAATGATTACGACTTGCATCCTGCAGGAGTTGGACAAGTATCCACAATATTCTTATATCCTGACAGATGGAGCAGAAATAGCAGTGCGACGCAGTTGACCGGACGAAAAGGAAAAAAAACTCATTGATTATTATCTTACCTCCACAGATCCACAAGGATATATGCTGAGAATACGACTATGCATGCGATGGAACACTAGTGAGGTCCAGAACAGAGGACCGTCTTTTTTGAGATTCTCCTCGTATTTCGGCGAAATTGAATTATTATTCATACAGGTCTGCGAGATGCGTTGATATACGATGTCGAGACTGAGAAATCCAGCTAACCCTTGCTCGCTTATAGGTACTTCGCCATCAACTCTTTCACCTTCCCCAAGTCCAAAGCATCAACTGTCGCGCAGTGTCCCTTCATCGTGTCCGCCATACAAACAGCATTCAATACCGACTCCTCAACGGCATCCGCGCTGGCTTCGAACAATGCATTGATCGTTTGGTCGTTAATCATGTTCACTCCAACCTCCCTTGGCCTCCACGGATCCACCTTCCGATTGCCCGCAGTGCCCGCGGTTCCCGTCTGAACGTCTTGCTCGTTTGCAGTAGAAAAGGCTAAGAAGATATCTCCGGAATGATTCGCACCCCAACCTCCAACCCTTGATAGACCAACGGTTGCGCGTTTCGCGAGACGTTGGAGCTGAGAGGGATGTAGTGGAGCGTCGGTACCGAGAATGATAATGATACTCCCGTCCTTTCTTTCCTTAGCTTGGGCGGTTTTGAAGAGGAGAGAAGCCTGGGCCAGCAGTTCGGGATCGTTCGGATTCTCCTTCACTCTGCGTTCCTGATCTTCAAAGATCAATCGACCTATTGGAGCTCCGGCAATTTTGAAGTCCCTCATTGCCCCATAGTTTGCCTGAACCAAAGCAGCTACCGTGTATGACTTTCCATCCTCAGCTGGAATAATACGACTACTTGACCCAGTACCCCCTTTGAACCAATGGCATAACATGCCTGTTCCACCCCCTGTATTTCCTTCCTTCACGGCCTCGCCACTAGCCTCGTCAATTCCCTTGACAACATGCTGAGGTGTGACAGCGAACTTTGTGACATCATGCATAAAGCCATCAAAGGTCTCGGCAACAACAGGAAGGAGGAACCAATCCACGTTACCCTTCTCATCAGAATGTTCTCTGATTCCGTATTCGTATATCCCATTGTAAGCAGAGCCAACGCCAAAGCTTCCTGTAATGATAATTGGAGAATGAAGGAGGCCAGTTTCCTCAATCCAGTGGCTCCCGGTCATCTCTCCAGATCCATTGAATCGAAAGATCCCCGCAAAACATGCCTTGTAGAACCAGTCTTTTCGAGGGAGAATGGTGGTGAGCCCAGTGTTAATGGACCCTGGGGTCGCATTGGGGTAATTTGGAGAATCGTGAATCGATTGAGTGGATACTAGTACGCCAGGGATATCGGTCAAGCTGTTCTTCGATCCAGTGCTGTAGCGACCGAGATAGACAGTGGGGAGGAGATCCCGAATGCGCTGACGGGGAGTCTTCGAGGAGGCAGAGGTGACTGTGGTAGTAGACATTTCATGAGAAAGAGGAGAATACGTAAATATCCTGAAACGTTAATCATGGAGGACGTCTAGCTTCTCAAAGACTTATATTCGAACGAAAGATCTTCGACCTTTGTTTACTCCCACCAATGATATCCAAATTTCGATTTGTAACACCAGCCTTATTTGGTCTATGCCAAATCGCGAGAGACACGACCACATGGCCCATCCTTAAATTACAAGAGTCATAAAGATCGTGTCTAATGACGCATTGCGATGCTATTGCATCCGCTAGGTTGAGTCTATCTCGCAGCTTACTATAAATGCCTGAGGCGCTAAGGCAGTTAAAACATTGAAAATCAGCTTGGAAGGGAAGGTGGATACAAATTGGGGCGTAAGAGGAGTCAGAGTTGCAGCAAACGCAACGTCGGAAAGGAGGAAGCAAGCTAGAAGTGGGGTTGAATTAAGAGTCATGACGTGAGCCTGACTGTTCTCTTTTAGGTTAGCGTCCCAAGCCAAGCTCTTTCCTGACACACCCGAGTTATCGCAGTGAGCTGCTCTTCATCTACGAGAGATGCTTCTGCACCTTATTACTCCTCATTATTTTGACCCAAACTTACTAAGAGCACACTGCTTCCCACTTTGTAGTTCGTGTGGGCTTTGCTAGCAACCTAGTTGTTGCGTAGATTCGGAGGAGCCGTGATAGTTCCGTACTACACAGCATTTATAGTGTATCTAGGGGTATCAAGCATAAGGAGGGGATACACGGTTGAGAGGCCGACTGTACTCTTATGGCTGCCTCTGGATTGAGGACACGCGACTTGAGGAGACGCTCCTCGTGGGCATCGTTCAGGTCTATGTAACGAGTCATAGTCTCAAACACTTCAAAATCATGAGATAGGGCATACCCTATTCGAAGGTTTCAAAATATGTTCCAGAAGATAGTGGGGTAAAATGGGCGGTTTCCGTTTCGCCTCATGCAATTTTGTGAGTCTATGCAGTCGCCACCGAAACCTTGAGGAGGCTAAAAAGATCCGAAGAGTGCAAAAAATTCTGCTCGAAGATGTACTAAACGACTTGGAGCTGTGGGGATTTGTGCGACCGTCCCCAGAGGCCTAGGATCCTTCTCCAGAAAGCTATGGTTATACTTAAGTGGCCGGAGAGATGTTCATATTCGAATTCAATCCTATCAGTCGTTTTCCCGGCTGGGTTGGTCAACCTAGATATTCATAAACTGAGATTAAGTTTCAATGGGATGATTTCCTTACTCGTTTTTTCAAAATGTAGACTATCAGTGAGACACCTGAATCCTCCCGAGCTTATCAACTTATTAGATCTTAGATCTCTGTATACCTAGCTTTCTTATAGCTATCCTCCAAATTAAAATGTTTCCTTAACACGACCCCAGCTGATCCATATCTCAACGGCATCACCCAACGTACGAACTCGAGTGGATCAGCTATCCGGGTAGCCTCGGGCAAGACGTCCTATGTGTAGCGTTGAGCTACAGCTGGGGCAGAGATCAGCCATACTATTCGACTAAGAAAATACCCGTCAAAGACGCCAAAGTGTTGTACCAGGAACTACCCAAAATAATTCAAGACGCCATTGGCATCACGACGGAACTCGGACATCATTACCTCTGTATTGGCTCACTTTCTATTGTGCAGGATGGCCCTCAAAATGTAGCCCGGGAGAATGCGCAGGCCACTGATGTATAGCAGGGTTATGGTTACCAGCACCGCTTCCACTCCCCGCTCCGTAGTAGATGTGATCCTGGTAATTCTAAAAACGCTGGATTTCTTTCGGTGTTATAGAAATCCCATTCCAAGGGCGGGAGTGCTCGTATATTTTTTTTGCCTGAAATAATGGGAGGGAGTGATAGATTCTATGATATTTGTCAAACTTTACATCTGCCTGACAAACCTCTACTTTGCAGTCATCATGGGTCTGAGAGGGTGGTAGCAAGCACCTCAAACTTGAGGGACTCGACAAGACAATGCTTGAGGTCTATCATGAGGCCGAAGAATGAGACGGCATTTCACGCTCCTATCACTTTGCTCCGGGTGGCGTAATCTTGCAAACGGATGTTCTAGTGATATATAATCTAACCATCGTACGCTTTGACAGTGGGCACAGATCCCCGCTTTTTATAATGCAGAACCTTTCTATTGCTGTTACATATACGATCCCTTGCTCTTCTAGATTTGCGAGCGTATAATATAGCTACAGAGAAAAGGCTCGGCCACTAGTGGTACTTAAGTGGGGTAATGCGAAGCGTTCTTCAAAGACATGGCATGTCAAAATAGAAAATTTCCTAACTGGGGTCACTCTGAAGTTACCCAGGTCTGGATTTGGGAAGCATGGCGCTTTTTGAGAGTGACTATAATGCAGGTTAGTTGATGCTCTCATTACATGGTACGAAATCCAACTGGGTGAGGTTTATATGTGCAATGGTATGGATTTCAAGGAAAGATGGTGCTGTGGTGTTGAAGTTTGTGAATTGTATGCTGAAGTAATCCTGCTGAGGTTGAGAGAGGCTGTGATGTCTAGGTGCAGGTATGGCTGCAGCCCGGTTACGTGACCTAATGATTCCGTATGACAAAATCCGACGCAGTGCGAGGCGTCTTCTTACCTTTGTTCGAAAGGAGCAAAGTCCAAGGTATAACGTGATCACATCTATCAATCGTCTCTGTGGGGTATTTTCGGGACCAGCGTCCATGCAATACCCATTGCAACTATCAGCCCAACGAGAATTGGTTGCATAACCTTCACACCAGCCTTGCTTGCTATAACTCCAGTGAGAGCGGGGAAGAGAGACCCGCCAGCCTGTGCAAGAACAAACACAAAGCCTAGTACAACGTTAGTAGCCTGAAAATATATTGAAGGCTCGAAATGGAGTTTCGTAGGAAAGAACCAAAGCAAATGGCGCTGGCTTAATTTCAATAACAAGAATATGGGACACCTCCGGTTGTTTGAAAACAGACAAGATCCGAAGTGTCAAACAGGAGAGGGGTAAATGAGCACTGGTCATACCTAAGGCTGTGGGCTGAATCCTTTTCTCGAATAGCTTTGAACCAATCGACATACCCTACGCTCATTAAGTACAGAGCCTCCCAGCATGAGCGGCTGGCGAGTCTCACCGTAGCAAACATTGGGCCATAGAAGAAGCCTAAGGCGCAAATTGCGACTGCGCTACTGGTAAGGTTGGGGACAAGCCAAAATACCAGCTGGAGTGCCAGAATCATGACGCAATACACCATCGTCATATTCCTCTCTCCAAAACGATGGGTTGGCTCTGCCAGGGCAACTCTACCCAGAAATACCCCACCCCAGAGACCGGCTGGAATGTACCCGACTTCAGGTAGTCTTCCGCTGCGGGCGGACACAAGATATTCCACAACCCAGCCTCCAGCGGTGATGCCGACTCCGAGCATGAAGAAGTAAAATAGAGATAAAAGGTAGACTGGACGTGACTTTAGTGTGTCGATGATGTCACGAGACGCATTTCCGCTGCGATTATTCGTGTCCATGGAAGATGGCAAAAGGTTTTGTGGAGCATGTACCTTGAGACTGTCTCTGAAGCCAATCAGAACACCCACAACATTAAAGGTTCCAATGCCGACAAGAAATAGGTAAAATAGTGGCCACTTCTCGCCCACCTTTGAAGTAATGGCAGTAGCAACAAACGGAGAAACGAGACACCCAAGGGCGTACATGGCGTGGATGAACCCAAGCCATCTATGGGCGCCTCGAATGGAGGTAACGAAAGTGTTGGAATGAGAGTCCTGGTACGCCATCCCCGCGGCTTGGATGAAAAATGTAACGACATAGAGACCAAATGGCGGATTCCAGAATCGGAGAAGGTGAGCTATGAGCTGGAGGGCCGCCCCAAGGGTGAGAATTGAGCCTAGATGGAGATATCGAGAGACATGGCTATTAGTTGCTGCGGTGAAGAGCCAGCCAAGGAATGATGCTGCATAAATCAAAGCAATGTATTCCGTCCCAACATGGTATGTTCTTAGAATGTAGGGGGTCAAGGCACCTAAACTGCCATCATTTGTCCCGGCAAAGAAGAAGGAGAAGCCCGCTGCAATGATTTTGAGAATGTTCGCCTGGGTCAAGTCTGTCTCTTCTTGGGTTGGATTGACTCTCTGCGCCGGGTGCCGAGAAGAAGTGTTCAAGATAGGAAGCTCAATGTCTTGTAGGGGAGTAGCATTTCGATGGATGATCTTGTTTGGTGATGATGACATGATGCAAGGCAGCGGAGGAAAGCGCATGTGGTGAGAGAGGAAGTTGCGACATGCCACTTATCAATGCAGCTCCGCGGAGCGATCCATGGAACCTCGCAAGTATCACCCTATTGATAACAGGTCAGACGTGATGGATAACACAGCAATTGACATTCGCAAAAAACGGAACTGCAGACCGTGTTTCCGGCCCCCTGCGCTCTTTGCTCCCTGATTCGCTCGTCACAGACGGTTAAAGCAAGAGAAATGATTGGACGAGCATGGCCCAAACCGCCATAGCCTCCCACTTCGGCCTCACCGGCGCTCACAAGCATGAGGAGGGCTGAGCCACCACCAGCAAAACATTCCTCAGGATGTTGCTGTTCTCTTCTGCCCGTCCTCCTCCTCCTCCTTCTCTAAACATATTCCATGTCCGGAGCAGCCGTGCCGTCACCTTTTACACCCCATAATCTGTCCTTCTAAACTTACTTCATCAACCTCCTCGTTCCGTGACTGACATCATGGTCGTCCTTGGCGGACTTGAATTTGTCGTCGGTGGCTACCTTATCCATCGCTACCACAAGAACAAGAACGAGAAGAAGAAGCTGGTCGAGGAAGCAAACCAACGTCGACACCATACGTTCCCCGGGCCGAAACCTCAGTCATATCCTTCCTATCCGCAAGCCCAACAGCCCGTACCACAGCAAAAGTATGCCTGCTACGCCCCTCAACCACAACTTCGACCATACACGGCTCAGCCTATTCCTGAAAGTCAGCCATATCCTCCACGCCCGCAGCCTTATCCTCAGGCTCAACCCTCGTTTCAACATCAAATGCAGCCTCAACCTCAGATGCAACCTCAGATGCAACCTCAGATGCAACCTCTAAGAAGACAAGACTCGTTCGCCACACTCTCGAACATGCCCGTCGCGAACGGCTCACCACCACAGGACGCGTCTCCCGCCCTTCCGCCTCGACGGCCGATGCAGCCTCAGCAAGCACTCCAACCCCAGCCTCAGTTTGTTCCACAAGGCTACGCGCCAGTCAACTACCCATATTACAACACAGGCTTCAGCGCATCGTACCCCTCCTTCGATCCCTCGTCGACCGCACCAGTGGCACAGCCGACCCAACAGTCATCAGGAGGGCACACGGTAGATGATAATTGGGAGACCTATGGGCCACAGTCACCACACGTGCACTTCGCCGTGTCAAACCCTCTACACCCTGGTGAGCGGGAGGATGACCCTCCGCCACCCTATCGACCTTGATTATATTCGGTATAGTTCTAGGATATATGAGGATACGTGGGGCTTTGAATGCAGGCATTTGAAGATGTTTTCTTTTGGTGACCTTTGGTCTAAATCAGGATGGTACGGACATTCTTTGATAAAACGCTTTAATTGGACATGGTAGAGGGATACCCATGAATTTGATTCTACTCACTTTTCTTGTAGGTAATGGATGCTGGTGACACAAGTGGTTAATAATGCCCGCTATTAGATACTTAGCTTAATGACAGCACTGTTACTCTTCCTCGGCATATCCATTGCCTTGGGTATCTACTCCTAACACCTCCCCGTTCCCCTTCTGTTAAACGGTGTCGCAAGTTCACTACCATGTTCACTCATTCATGACTAATAACAATGCTGCGAAATATTCCATTTGGATGACGTATCCCGAGCATTCAGGCTCAACGTCAAGTCGACCGGATGGGAGTACATATGTGGGGCAAATTTAAATGAGGATGTTCTGGAGGAAGATGATACCAGCAGTTACCCAAACAGAATTCCCACATTTCATGCTATGAGCAGGAGTAGAGATGTTACAGCGGAGTATATTTATGTTGAGTATGTAATGGTGTCTTGAGATGAGGCGAGGGGGTGCTAAATCATGTCAGTCGAGGGACCTAGGCCGACTTCAAAGTTATAAAGGACGCCGGGATCGACCCTAGAGGAAAGATTGCAATGGCAAATTACGGTGATATTTATCGAGGGACGGAAGTCAAGAATACCCAGGATAATAGCATGGTTGGGTTGATTGTCTTCACCGGTTCATTAGATGACGGCGAGGCTACCGGGGAGAACGGTTATGTGGCGTATCCAGGTCCGAATTGCTCAACAGGGCACCTCTGATGCATAGGAATTGACAATTCTTGGATGGTCCAGCGAGAAACCCTTCCTCAATCCCGCGAGGCAGTGTGCGCTTCCTCCATCTACTCCAGCGGTCCAACAACTGTAGGCTGAGCCTCCACCCCCGATTCACCCCAAGGCAACGTATCTAACTACAACCTGTCAATTCCCTCGACCCCACCCAGCATGGGTGATGCACTCCCTCTCCTCACGGCTCTAGAAGGCAACGGCGTAACTGCCAAAGAAGCAAATCGGAGTGGCTGGACTGGAGGTTTTAGTGACATCACGTAGCATTGTTTAAAATGAACCGTATCATGAATGGGTGGATAGCGCCAGCTTGGGATGTCATTGGTGTCATCAACGGAACGAGCGACGACAAAGTCGTTGTCATAGGAACCCATCGCGACGCCGGCGTCATTGGAGGAGCAGCTGATCCCAACTCCGGAGGAGTTATTCTTATCGAGCTTGCCAATGTTTTGGTCAGTTGTTGACTAAAAGGTGGAAACCAAAGAGGGCCATGTAAGTGATCTCACACACAATGCGGAATAGATTCCAGATCAGTGTGTCCAACCGTTAGTACACCTAATAGTACAGTACTGCAGTACACTGATTTTAGTCACGTACGTACGTACAGGGCATCTACTTAGTATACTGTACTATACGTAAGGCTGCTGTACTAACTGTTTACAGTAGTTATATAAGATTTTTAGTAGTTTTAGGCAGTTAAAGGCAGGTTGCTAAGGGCTAGGGGGCTTGTGTTTAGAGATTAATGCAGAGAATGCTGTTATTGCCTGTTTTGTTAGCAATCTTCTAATAAATTTAGCAACTATGCTATCTACATTATTCTTTTGCTTATTATAATGTCCTAATTTCTATCTTAATTAACAACATAGTTATCTTAGCGTGTTACTACTTTGCAGGCCTGTCACGATTATGCACGAGTAAGGTTATAGAGCTTCACGGAGGTCTAGTTTAATTACTACGTGAGGTATTATAGTAGGTACAAGACGTTGTGTAAGGAACAGGAAAGTTTAAAAAAAATTAGTAATTAAATACTTAGCTTAAAAGTCTAAGCGCTTTAAGTATAAATTAAGCCTATTTTAAGTTTAGTTAGTGTTAAAGCAGTTTATACTTAAGTTTATGTCTATGTTATGTTATGTTTATGTTAGACGTGCACTAATAATACTTTAGTATATATCTAATATAGTTATGTCTAGGATCTAGGGAGAATACTGTAACAGTACCCCCCCTTTTATTAGAAAGGGAATTCTTTACATTAGTAGTTCTAGCATTAAGTTATTTTTATTAGAGTATAGGTTTAGTTTAGATAGGTATTAGGTGTAGAATTAGGTTACTATAAAGTTTTTTTATAAGGCTTCTATAAGTTTTTACAACAGTTTATTATATCTAGTTTATTTTATAAAGTATTTATAGATATATTTTTTTTATTAAACTAGATTTATTTAATATTTTCTATAACATATTCTAGTTTATTATTTATAATAATAGGTTTAAGTAGTAGGTTTAGCTATTTAGGTAGATAGTTAGATTTAAAGGCTACTTAGCGCAGTAATAATATGTAGAACATAGAGTGTATCTTTATGCTGTTAGGTAGGATTAATTAGTAAGCATATAATAAAACTATATAGGCTACTATAAAAAAGCTAAAGTTTTTTTAATTAAGTTTTTTTAATTATTAGTTTATTTAAATATTTCTAGTGTCTAGCTAGACCTTCTTACTAGCTGCATACACAGGGGTAAGAGTTTAAGATTAGTGTCGGTTGACCTGGGTTCGATCGAACGAACGTACGCCCAAGGGGCGTACCAAGAGGTGAGCAGGCAACACAATGTATTGATTCTGGTGACGGCTGCCATCCTAAGTACGTTGGGATGGCTGGTTTTATACTGGCCCCCTGCCAAGCCCGCACAGATATCACGTGAGATAAGCTTACGTGATATCCACACAGAGTTGGATCAATATACCTGTGATTAACGTTCGGACACTGGCAACTTTTGTTCTTGTGGAGTT